TTTTATAGAGAGAAATTATCTCTTATCTTTGACATGAATTGCAAATATTTTCCTCAGTTTTGTCTTTATCTTTTTACTTTGCTTATAGGTGATTGTGTCCTGTAGAAAGTGTTTTGAGCAGTAAAATTTATCAGAGTTATTTTATGGCTTCAATTTTATTTAATACTTTATGCCTTTTTTTATTCTAAAATTATAAAACAATTTTTTGTGAGTTTTTTTTTCCTAGTGCTTTCATGATTTCATTTTATCATTTAAATGTTTGACCCACTTAAAATTTATATTGGTGTGAGGAGAATGGAGCCAACTTAATTTTTTCCCAGATGGCCAGTTGTCCCAATAGCATTTATTAAATTACCCTCCATGGCCCCCCATTTAAAATGCCACCTTTATTACACACTAAACTATAGTATGTATTTGGATCTGTTTCTGTTCTGTATGTTCCCGTATGTTCTGTATATTCTGTCCCGTTGATCTATCTAGACAGGCTTGCTTCTGAATTCCAGCTCCCTCACTGAATTGCTGAGTGATGGTACTTCATTGAGGAAATATAGATTCAGTTAAATAAGCAATAGCCCATCTGTCTGCAGCCTGCACCTGTACCCCTGTTCTTTGGTTTACCTCACCTCCTATTACGAAGAAAGAGACGTCCTCACTCCTGTGTGCCCTGGTCTCAACTCCTCTGCTCTACTCCTGGAAGTGCCCTCTCTTCATCGTTAATTTCTGCTGTTAGACGATTATTGTATAAACACCCCTTCATAATAACTAAAAAGCAACCAAACAAAAAGCCTTGTCCATCTGTGGCCCCATTTCTCCACTCGTCTTCAGAGTAAAAGTCCTTTTCTGTACCTCCTGTGTTCTCCTTGACCCACCCATCCAGGCTGTGGTTCCTACCTCACTGGTGAGATGTCTTCCCAAGATCGCTAGCAGCCTCCGTCTTGCCAAATCTAGCAATCAGTTCTCTCTTGGTCTCTTATCATGTCTCATCTCGGTCTTTCAGCAGGATTTGACAGTTAACTAGCTTCTGTGACTGTACAGTCACTGGATTTCCTCCTAAGTGGCCACGCCTCCTCCTTAACTAGACTGTTGAGTTGTCTGGGGATCTGTCCTCTGCTGCCTTCTCTTATCCATCCCCATCTTATCTCCAAGTGAGCTCATCCAGTTTTGTGACTTTAAATACATCTGTAAACTGACATTCAAATTTTTGTCTCCATCTCTCCCCTCACCCCAGAGCTCTAGACTAGAACATCCACTTTCCTCTTCCGCAACTCCCATTGCTCAGTTACCCAACACCCAGGCAGCGCTTAGGGGTTCTTTCCCAGACCCCTGCCTGCTCGTCGCTCTCCATTGTAGGTAGTGGGACCACCACACATTCAGATATTTTTTAGAAGTTACCCTGGTTTTCTCCCATCCAGTCGATCAGAGAGTCCTGTCAGCTGTTTGTCCAAAAGTATCCCAAGTAGCATGTAGTTGGTTAGGAGAGCTGGGCTGCCTCAGTTTGAGTCCTGGCTCAGCCTTGAGCAAGTCAATTTCTGTGACCCAGATTTCTCATTGTTTAAATGAAGTTAGGATAGTACATACCTCATAGGATTGTTCGAACATGAAATGTGGATCCCAACTAAGTTAATATGCATAGGTGCTCCGTGAGTGCTCAGTAAAGCTTTGTTGTTGTTGTCCCTGGGATGGGTGGTATTAGTAGTGACACCAGTACTGGTTATAGTGGGCGATCTGGTATTCTTGCCATGTGTGCTGCTGCTCTGTAGCCCAAGCCTCTGTCCTCCCTTCATAGACTGTGGAATAGACTCCTTTCAACCATTGCACCTCTAACTGTCCATTCTTCACACACCAGCCAGGGGAATCTTTTCAAAGACATAAATGGCATTATGTCACCATGCTGCTTAAAAACTCTCCAGAGGCTTCCCATTACAGTTATACTAAAATTCAGACCCCTTTCCTGGCCTTCCATACTTTTTGTGCTTTGGCCTCTCCTGCCTCAGTCTCACCTTCTGTACGCTCCCTGTTCCTCGCTAGGCTCCACCCACTCGGGCCTTCTTTGGTCCCTAGAAGGTGCCAGACCCTCTCCCATCTTAGGTCTCTGTACTTGTTGCCTGTGTGTGGAATGCTCTTCCCTCAGAGCTGTCTGGTTCCTTCATAAAATCCCAGTCTCACCCCTAATGCTGCCTCCCCAAAGGAGTCATCCTCAGCCGTCCTGCTAAAGGAGCCCCTCCCCCCACTGTCTATCTCAGTGCCCCTTATTGTCTTCATTGTCCTGAGTGCCGATGGAATTTTCTTTACGTATGTGTGTGTCTGAAGGTCCAACGTCTAGACCAGGAATTGGGAGCTAAGTTGTGGAATGCCCAATTTTTTAAATGGGGGCAGAAGAGTGTCTTCTTGGTGGGAGCCTCTTTTCCTGGATAGCCCCCTCGAAGTATGGATGTGCAGCCCATATTTATTAGGGAATGTTTGCAGTTTGGAAAAATGTCTTTGGGAATCTCTGCCTTTTCCATTTCTAAGTCACTGACTACATTTTAAGCTGTTCTGGAAGAAAGAGTGTTTTAACCCAGTCAGTGTAACTGCTAAATGTCTTGCTTTAAAAACATGCACACAGCTCTTAGGGTATTAATTGATCTGGTAACACCCTGAGTTCATGTGGTGCTGACTGTTTTAAAAATAAAACAGTAGTTATGTAGCCGTGAAATGATTACAACTGCCGGCAAGTAAGGATCATAATAGTGAGAAAGAAGCCATTTCCTGATTTATTTATGAACACCAGCAACAGCATGCTCCATAAACTTGCTTAGACTTGGTATCTTTCAGACTTTTAGTTACTTATCTGAAGTATACTATTAATTTTCGCTTTTGCTGGAGCAGTGATAGTCATTCAGAATCTAACGATCATCTCCTTGGTACCCAGGAAAAAGAAGGACTCAATCCTTGATATTAAGTTGAATTGAACTTCCAGCCTCCAAGTGTGGATTCTTTACCATACGCTTCACAGTCCAAGCTGCTTCTGCGAAAATGTTTATGATATCAAATAAGAACAGGATCAGAAATCGCATGTAGGGTCTGACCTCAGTTACACTCCATGTTGATTGAAAGCAGTCTTAAAGGAAGTTTAACGTGTTCGTGCTGTTAAATGGATAGCGAGAGTATTGGATTTTACTTTCTGAAGACTTTTCTGTATTGGGCAAACAGGCACATGGGCATGATTTCTGGGGGTGGCCTGGGCAGTGCCCAGCTCTTGGGTGGCCTGTACAGCCAGTGTGTGAGGCACAGATGCACGGCAGACTGTCCTTCCCAGACTTGTGATCGAATCTCTAATAGCAACAGCTACTTTATGTCAGTACAGCCTAAGGCACCCCCCAAGGTTAAGTCAGACTGCAAACATTTGTTTCTTTGTGCATTCAACACATAGGTACCTAATGGCTGATTTTACCAAGCCAGGTTAGTGACGTGAAGTGTAAAGTAAACCAAATAGACATGGCCCCTGCACTCGAGTTGCTTCTGGTGTAACAGGGAAGAAGACCCATATTAAACAATTAACATACTCAGGCAACTTCAACTGTGATAACGGTTATGAAGGAAAAGAATCAGATCCTATGTGAGAGCACAGAGCAGGGGAGAGCCTTAGTTTAGGTTGAGAGTTTCAGGTAAGGCTGAGACCCAAAAACTGAGAAGATTTAGCCAGATAGGAGAAGAAGATGCCAAACGGAGGAAACTGCATGGCCAAGGCCAAGGCAGAGAAGAGTGTGGGAAGCGCTGAAGGAGACCAGTGCGGGTCTGATGTAGCTGCACTGTGGGAGGTTGGCACAAGACTGACAGGTGGGCAGGATGGCGTGTGGTCCTGTGAGCTGCACCTTGGGGAAGGCTTACTGTGACTGGAATGAGTCAGAGATGCTGAGGAGGAGGGATGCAACCCCTTCGAGCCTCTAGTGACACAGTCTCCTTGCTGGGGCTTCCACACAGACTCCTTGTTTGTTGTGACCTCACCACCTCTTTTTCTAAGGCCTGGGACCAGGGCCAAAGGTAACTGGTGCCATTAGTGGACATCACCAGTACAGCTTCTGGAGGAATCTGGTGTTTCCACGCTGAGCACATAAATGTAGTAAACAAAGGCACGTTCTGAAGAAGGTCAGGGCACGCTAGATCCAGGTGTTGAAGTTAGAATGGCCATCCACCCCAGGATCCACACACAGTCGGCTAACATGCTGTTTGGAAGCTGGGGTATACAGTATTGGATTCTGTTTACAATTCTGCTCCCAGATTGTTGGGATGAGGTTTCTTTTGTAAACCGGCAGTAAGTACACCTTTTAATTGGCAGTGTTTCTTTTGGTCAGTTGTTTATTACTAGAATTAGAAAAAACATCTCTTTGATTATTGCTAATATAGGTTAATATGAAAACAAAGTGATGATTTAGCCTGTTTTCATAATCTGCGTGATTGTATTCTGATACAGCTAATACTCCATTATTGTCAGCATGTGGTTGCACTGGGAAATTTTCACTCGTAGTCACAGCTCATTACTGAAAACTAACTTTTATAAGAGAAAATGTCCTCAGCCCTTTGCTCAAACTTCCAGTTATAAAATAAATAAGTCATGGGAATGTAGTGAACAGCATGAGAAATACAGTCAATAACATTGTAATAACTTTGTATGGTGACACACGGTCACCAAACTTACCATGGTGATCATTTTGTGATGTATACAAATATCAAATCACTATGATATACACCTGACACTCTAGGAAATTGTATGTCAATTATACTTCAATTAAAAAGAGAGAAGAAAGAGGTATGCCCTTGAGTCATATACTTGTTTTATTGCCATGATGTTCTCTGATAAGTGGTTCTTCCTCGAAAGGAGCACACTCATTTGCCATCTGTTTAAAATCACCAAAGAATGAAAACTAGTATCTTGAAGCCTAAGGACATCTATCTCTTTCCTACACTGGAATTCTGAAGAAGAACGTACTGAACATTACTTATGTTTTCATTCTTCTCAGATTCTTCTTAACCTTTGGTGAAAACTCTGTGACACAAGATGGCCGCAAATAAGCCCAAGGGTCAGAATTCTTTGGCCTTACACAAAGTCATCATGGTGGGCAGTGGTGGTGTGGGCAAGTCGGCCCTGACTCTTCAGTTCATGTATGATGAGGTAAGTGCTGATTTTGGATATGGCTATCCATTTTGATGATGGATATCAAAGTTTGGGCTTTCAGAGAGTATTTCTCTAGCTTAGTTTTGGTGCTATTTTGGATGGATTCCTTGAAAGCTAATAATCTTTTTTTTTTCCATTTTTAAATTTAGAGCCAACATTTGTACATAATTCAATTTAACAAGGAAGAACTCAAGGTTCTTAAAAACCTTATGCTTTAAAAAACAGAGCAAGACTGGAAACAGTACCTATTTTTGAGCAATCTAACTTTGGCTTTTTTATTTTTAGTGTTTAGTAGAGATTCCCACCTTAAATTAATAGAACCTAATTGGTGGATATATTACCTATTTGAGACCTGAGGTTAACATACATAAGATGTCCTTTAATAACTTCAGTGAAAAAGTCAGTCAGTTATTGTGTGCTTGGCGTGTCGCCGCAGTCCCCATTAAATAAGGAAAGGCTGTGTCCCTAAATATAATTACTAGACAGGATACAGATTTGTGTGCACGTAATTATATTAGACTTGACTGCCCAGAGTTAAGGTCTCAGGCTATTTACAGCAATATGTTCTTTCCCTGGAGGACTATTAGCAAGTCTAAGTGATTTAAGAGTTGGTAATCCAGTTTAAGCATTTCTCCTCAATTCTTCTTCCTCCCAATAGGAGCATGGTTTTATGGTTACTCTTTCTTTTAATCCTCAGTAACAGTCCTGCATGGTAGGTGATGATATCCTCATTTTACACAGGAGAAAACAAACAGAACCTCAGAGAGGTTAACCAACCCGCCCAAGAGGAGTGATCTCTGTTGAGCAACCAAGTGTTAAGCCTGGTCTCTGACAAAAAATACTGCAGATTTTTACCACTCCATGTCTCTTTCTGTTGCCTGCTCATCAGCATTTCTTTCACACACAAAAAACTCTTAAATCCATCAGTTGTCCTGTTGATGAGTGTGATAAAAAATTTGTGGCAAGAGGAGATGAAATGGTGCTTTAAATGATATTACTCATTTATCTATTCAATTCTGTTTTCCATACTCATTTCCATATTGATTTTACTGGCTAGTCTTCTTCCAAACTAATCCTTAAATCAGTCCCTTTCTTGACAATAAGGAGGTCAAAAGTAAGAATATTCACATGCCTGACATTTGATGAATTGTTAAGCTTTCATTTAATATTCATAAATATGCACTATTCATTTAATATTCATATTATCTGATATATCTGAATATTTATATTTATCATAAATATTTATAAAATATTAGCATGTAAATATCATAGAATGTTCTGTAGCTTTTACAGTTACAGATACACCATGTTTATTTTTAAAAATAATTATTTATTGAGCATCTACCATGTACCCAGCGCTGTCCTGCACTTTGGAGATACAGTAATGAGTAGGAGAGTCAGGGTCCCAGCTCCCAGGAGTTAAATTCTAGGAGGGGGATATAGACATTGAGCACATATATAAGAAAATATCAGATAATGAAAATACTTTTAGAAACTAATTTTAAAAAGACATAAAATGTATGTGTATGATACACTGAGCAAAAATATCAAGGTCAGATTTATGGTATTCAAGATAGAAGTGGCAATGTAAAGTTATTTAATTGTACTATTTAAAAAAAGTCAGAAGTTTGGGGAGAAATCTCAAAGTTCAAGATTTAACATTTACTGAGTAGTATAAGCCACTGCATTGACTTGGTTCATTTTGGAGAAAGAAAAAATTGAACAGCACTTTCAATGCTTACCTAAACATTGACTGACTTTCAAGTTTTTTCCACAATTCTGACGTGAAAATTTATGCTTAGAGTCATGTAGACAGGAGTTCTTGTACGTTCAATAAAATGTATGTGTAACAGTTTTTGCAGGTATACTGTTTTAAGGAAGAAAAAAGGCACAGTTTTCAAGTCGTAGACACCCCAGAGCTAATAATTCAACCCTCGCTTTTGGCCAATGAGGAAGCTGCTAAATTTCCCAAAATGAAAGTTTCAATTAATGTAGTTTCTACCACTGGGGAGGACTGCCTGAAGAGTAGTACAGGGGACTTCTCTGTACGCTTTTGGCGACTTTATTTGAATCTGTATTTCAAAGTAGGAAGTTTTGAAAAGTACAGATGATTTAAAAATGGCCGCGTTCTTGCTCTCTCCCAGTTTGTGGAAGACTACGAGCCCACCAAGGCGGACAGCTATCGGAAGAAGGTGGTGCTGGACGGCGAGGAGGTGCAGATTGACATCTTGGACACCGCCGGGCAGGAGGACTACGCGGCCATCAGAGACAACTACTTCCGGAGCGGGGAGGGCTTCCTCTGCGTCTTCTCCATCACAGAAATGGAATCCTTCGCAGCCACGGCTGACTTCAGGTGCGTCAGGGAGTCGTGCTGCTGCTTCGACATGCTGCATAACCCTTTATTCCCCAGAGACCAGGGGACCACTAGAGGTTCTTCTGTGCTGGTCTTTCACTCTGTCTAATTGTGTGGATTCCCTCTTGGATGGCAGTAGATAGCTCTGTCCCCTGTGTGCTGACACTCAGATACTCAGCACACCTTGCATCATCTTAGCCATCCCAGTGCCAGCTGGATCGGAGCCTCAGTACCCAGAGTCTGTGCATTACTGAAGCATTTCTATTTGGAGTACTGTACTACTGCTGCCACGATAGTTGACACTTGATCACAACCTGTGGCTCTGACCCAGATTTTAAGTCTTTCTCTGTTCGTCACTGGTTTCTCAGCACCTCTGTGATGCTTAGCAGGCGCATTGGCATCCTCCTCACATTATAGATGCCCTGACAGCATGGACTGAAGTTTTTTAATAGAAATAATACCACACATTGGCACACTACGTTGTGTTACACAGTATTTTTACATCTTATTTACTGTTTGCTTAATCAAAAAGTTTTTGCAAAATCAAAACCATTGTGTTTGAGCAGGGAGGTTATGGTGAGGAGGAGAGGGATTCTCTCCATTTGTCAGAGAAATATGGCTCACGTAAGTTCTTGAGTCGTTCTTAAATACTACACGCATAATCAAAAATATTCTTGATATGTTCTTTTATTTCTCTGTTATTTGCTTTGGTATCGGGGACATGAAAGAGGCATGTAATGTGTACCCTGTATTTTCAAGATTCACACAGCCTGGTTGAATAAGGCTTGAAACTAAGAGCAAGCCAGTGACAAAGTAGGAGACATGGACAGTGACCATTACAGGGGATCCAGGAGGGGAGAAAAGCTGGGAGGTCTTCAGGAAACGGATGAGCCGGAAGGATTTCCACAAGTGAGGAAAGAAGTCAGTCCAGGTGGTTAAGCGAAAAACTCAAGCTTATATACAAAGCATTCTTTTTTATATACACTTGAAAGTCTCAAGAACTTAAAGGATTCTAAGAGAACATTCTTTGCAGAAAAGCATGTCATTGAGAAACTGTTAAAATATAGATTTATTTGTAAAATTAGGTTTGTTGGTTTCTTTAAGGAAGGAGATTTGTATGTGCTAAAGTGCAAAGGGCGGCAGATGCTGGTGGTTTGTAATCCTGGGAGACATGTTGAAGTTACGTAAACGTCAGTGCTTATTCATTCATTCAGCAAATCTTTGAGTGCTTATTAGGTAGCAGGACCTGTTCTGGGTGATGGAATAAATTTTGTCACCATAGTCACCAAAGCCAAAGTGGTATCTCGAGGGAATAAGGTATTTTATGCCAAGAGAAAGAATCTGGGGCTCGTGCTGTTACAGAAAATAAGTGAATCATTCATTACTCGTCTGTTTTACATCCAATGTGTTGCCTTTCCCATCAATAAAAATGGTTCTTGTGCCTGACCAGCAGTAGGAAAGGCATTTTGAGACAGTCTGAATGGTTACAGTAGGCACTCCCTGTTAGACCATGTGGTCTAACCTGCAAAGTGTAGCACGAATGTCAGCTCCTCTTCAGTCTTCCTGGTCCACCCCTCACCAAGGCAGACTCCGTGCTTTCCTCCTCTGTGTGTGCAATGTACTTGCGCCAGCTCCAGTAGCACACTTACCACACTTTTACACTGAGCGTGATTTATATGTGCTTTTCCTGATAAGGTAGAAATTCCTGAGAGCAAGTCCCACTTCTTATCCACCTCAGTATCCATAGTGCTCGTACTTGTCACAGTTGCTACCGTATAATATATAGGACATGCTTATTAGTAAATGTTTGATAGAAGTGTTAGAAAACTCTTTTAGCTTTTTTGGTTGTCACTTTCCTTATGTCAAAAATGAAGAAGTTGGACCAGTTTCCTATTCTAAAATTCTATAATAGCCTCTAAAACTCTGTTTAAAGGGAGCTTCATATTAAGCAAAGCGTGTCTGAAGGCTATAGACAGCATTCTCTTTCTCTGACATCCAGGAAAGTAGCTAATAAAACCAACTTATTAACTCTAAAGAACATCTTCTTCTCACCTCTGAACCCAGTAGGTCCAAGTTTCCATGGCCATGTTTCTGATAGCATTAATCACACTGCAATTTCAGTATCGGTCTTCCTGAAGCATGTGACTCAGAGTGGCTGAATAGGTGTTTATCAAGAAGTAAATTAATGACTATACGTACGTATGACCAGAAGTTCTGAGGTCACAAACACCTGAGTCAGTCTGGCATTCCTGGTGGTTAGTGAGACTGAGTGGTAAGTTAGTTGTTATTAACATCTTAGTTCAGGCTATTGATCACAAAGGAAGTAGGCTAAGAAAGTAACAGCAAATTTGTTGTTATCAGCACTGGGAAAAGATTGCGATGGGCCAAAATCCTATTCACAAATACATCGTAAATTTAATAGCAATAACGGTGAGTGTTGGCAAGCTTTTTGCGAGATCGTGTGAGTGGTAGGAAACACGTGGGCACTCGGCAGTGCTGTACAGCTCAGCACGTGTCACCCAGGTCCGGGCTCGAGGAACACTTCTGCTTTCCAAGAGGATGTTTAAGGCCAGTACAAATCAGTGAAGGATGGAAGTGACTGTAGAGTGGGCCATAGCTTATTCATGTTAGAAAAATGAACAATTCAGGTCTAGAGAACTTCCTGCAAGCACTGAGTCTGTTGGACTGTTGGCTGCTGGGCTGCTGCATCAGTAATCAGGGGAATGAAGTAATAGGACAAATACCACCACCACCTAATGCTCATGCAGTACTTAACACATACCACACACTGTTCTAAGCATTAACACAGACGAGGTAGATGCTACCGTATTTCATAGATTCGAAGACAAATTGTTTTACATTTTGTCATCTCTTAAAATCAGAGCTGTGTCTTACAGTATGACATGTTACAGTTAAAATTGGCAGCACTTTTTCTTAGTGATGCATAAAATAATGCTCACAGTTAGTGACTTCTTCCTAAATGTGATTTTTTTTAAAAAAGTACCAAATTGATAAATGACGAAGCTGAAGCACGGGGGGGTTCCGTGACCTGCCCCTGGCCATGCAGTTGGGGATGGCAGAGAGTGGGAATCCAGGAGCTCTGCCTCCATCTTCTTCCTTCAACAGCCCTGCTGCACTGGCTCTCGTTAAACGAGTCATGGCTCTTTTATAACAACATATGGCCACCACGTTTCATGTTGTTAAACGAAATTCATGTTAAATATGGTAAATTTCCTTTTTAATATAGCCCTTTTCCCTACCGTATATTTGTTTTAATGTATTAAGCATGTTTACTTAGGGCATTGTTTTAAAATTATGTAATTATTCTGTGACATCACATTATAATATCACTGTTACTTTTTTTTTTTTTCTTTATTCTTTTTCTTTCTCTCCCCAAAGCCCCCCGGTACATAGTTGTATATTTTAGTTGTGGGTCCTTCTAGTTGTGACATGTGGGACGCCACCTCAGCGTGGCCTGATGAGTGGTGCCATGTCCGCGCCCAGGATCAGAACCGGTGAAACCCCGGGCCACCAAAGCGGAGTGCATAAACTTAACCGCTCGGCCACAGGGCTGGCCCCCACTAGTTACTTTGTTAGTATCAATTTTAACCCTCAAATGAAACAACTAATTGAATACATTTTTCCAGAAAAGTAAAATAGTTTTTATATGATCCACTCCTTCCTTCCACCTTTCTTGTACCCCATCTTCTCCCACAGGTTTGATCCGATCGCTAGACATAAGAACGAAGTTTCCCTCTGTCAGTCTGTAACTTTGCCATGCAGGGGAAACGTCATGTAACGTGGAGAACCTCACCCTGTCGCCCGGTAGACACCTTGTGTTCACTCCATTCGGAGGTAGGGGTCTCTCGTGATGAAGAAGTTGGGGGAACGAAACCTTCTGGGACAGTTTGTTCCCTTAGATATTCCGTTATGGGGAGTCCCCATGCTAGTTAGTGTCGAGGTTGTTCTGTGCTCTCGAGTTAGATTTCTCACATTCACATCTCAGTTCCACTTAACTGTGACTCGGAATGAGTTATGTCAGTTCTCTGTGCCTCAGTTTCCTTATCTGTAGTAAGGAATGAGGGTTAAAATAACGTATGTAAAACACTTAAAACAGTGCATGGCACGTTGTGAGCACTCAGTAAGGTGTTAGCAGGAATGAAGGTGAGGTGGTATTCTGGAGACGTTGTCTAAGAAGCACAAAATAGACTCATCTGAAAATAAGCCATCACAGAGATTTACACGCAGTCTCAAACCTCCCTCTGAGAACCCTGCAAATCAATGTGCTTTGCTCATCTATCATTCTAATAGTCCCTTCGATTTTCTCATTTTCTCATAGTCTAAAATATTTATGTTCCTCTAGTTTCAACATCTCTTAATAATTTCAGAGCTGAGGCATCTGTAAGATAGCAAGATAGTAAACCTTAGTCTTACAGATTTCTTTTGTCTGTTGATTTTACAAGAGAACTTCTTTCTCCAGTAGATTAATAATAGTCGTGAAGAACAGCTAACATTTAGTGCATATTTACTATGTGCACAATGCTAAGCACTTTACCTTTAATCCTCATAGCAGCCATATAAGAAGGGTATTATTGTTCGCTCCATTTTACAGATGAGGAAACTGAGGCAGAGAAGTACTTTGCTCAGTCACATGAGGAGGAGGGGCAGAGTCAAGATGCCTTTACTACTGGTGACACTTTCACATTGTATGACTTTTCTCTAAATGCAAAATCTCTACTCAAGAGCTGACTTCAGATATTTCTGGCATGTGTGGGGCTGTAACAACATTTAGTGGGACTCTTGATATAATATGATAAAAATGGCACTCTCTCCTTCTGTGAGCCTCCTCCCAAAACCCATGACCCCAATTTAATTGTGAGAAGAACATCAGACAAATCCCAATTGAGGGATGTCCTACAGATTACCTGACCAGCGCTCTTCAAACTGTCAAGGTCGTCAGAAACAAGGAAGGTCTGAGAACTGTCACAGCCACGTGGACTCTCAGGAGATATGATGACGAAATGTCACGTGGTGTCCTGGATGGGACGCTGGAACAGAAAAAGGAAGAACATCTGAATAAAGTTTGGACTTAGCTAACAATGATGTGTCAGTATTCATTCGTTCGTTGTGATAAACATCCCACACTAACGAAAGATGTTAACAGTGGGGGGAGCTGGGTGCAGGGTATACGGGAACTCTGTACTGTCTACAGCTTTTATACAAACCTGAAACCCTTCTAATGTAAAAAATTTAAGAAAACTGTTTAGGGGGAAGTTGCATTTGGCACTGATTTCGTGCCTGTACAGCCGTGTTTATACTCTGCGTCGGGGTATTTTTCCTTCATCAGTGAAGTGGACGTGTAGCTCGAATGATGTGAAACAGGGAGGAAGCTGCTTCTTTCCAACCGTGTAAGGACTCAGCTCATTGTCACTGTGTAGAAACCTATAAATAAGTGCTGATGTCAGGTGGTATTTGTTATTTTAGCATCTAGAGGTAATGTTAGTGTTTCTTTCTCATTTTCTGTTATGCAGGGAGCAGATTTTAAGAGTAAAAGAAGATGAGAATGTTCCGTTTCTGCTGGTTGGTAACAAATCAGACTTAGAAGATAAAAGGCAGGTTTCTGTGGAAGAGGCAAAGGCCAGAGCCGATCAGTGGAACGTCAACTACGTGGAGACATCGGCTAAGACGCGAGCCAACGTGGACAAGGTGAGGAGGCCGGCGGCACTCGGCTCTCCCTCGGCCGTCTTGTCGAAATCCTGAGACTCTCAGATAGAGATTCATGCGTGTTGATCCCACCAGCCCCGTGTGCTCTAGTACAGGGTGTTGGGAATTTCTCATTTGACTGTGTCCCTAGGTTCCTGAGTGAGACGGTGACACAGGAGATGCCGTCGCTCAATGCACTTTTTTTTTTGTTAGCACTGACAGGACTCTTGACCTGAATCCTGCCTCTTTTTTTTCCATATCCTGATTGGCTGGATAATTTAGGAGGAATTTAAGTCCTCCGACCTGACACCTGCCCAGCCCATTTAAGTTCTCAAAAGTGAAAGTGCTTCCCACAATGAAGGAGCCCGCACATAAGAGGATTTTAAAACCTCCATTCCCACAACCACATTCCCCCCAGCCTCTGCTTTTCCCTCGGTGGAAAGGGAATCCTCTGCCCTCTTCCCGTCTTCCCACTATTTTCAGATCAGCGCTTCAGAGACCAGGCGAGGAGCACCTTACCTGGTTTGGAGGAGCCTTCCCACGGCGCTTCGTCTGCCACCCGCCCGAGGGTTTGGGCAGGCTGCCTGGGGCTCAGGCCGAGTCTTCGAGCCTCCAGGTCGGCCCTTTTTCAGCCCCAAGTATCGGCTCTAGGAAGTGCCTCTCAGAGTCTGACCTGCAGAAGACTTGCCTGTGGAGTCTGATAAACACAGATTCCTGGATCTTACGCCCAGAGTTTTTGATTCATTTGGTCTAGGGTGGGACCTGAGAATTTGCGTTTGTAGCAAGCTCCCAGGGGGTGCAGACGGTGGATGGGTGGAATGCACTTTGAGCAACACTGCTCCAGGCGGCGTCAAGTTTCAGTGACCTGGTCTGCTTGTGCCTGTAGATTTATAACTCTGATCCAGAAATCATTAGGTTAAAAAAAAAATTAGAGATTTTTTTCAGTGTCATTACTATCTTAAGCTGATTAATTTTTTTTTTAGTCACATGGCCAGATTCCTCTAAGTCCAAGATACCTGAATGATATGAATGCTACAAGATTTGTACTCAGTATAGCAGTTTCCTCTAAAGTTATGGCAAACGTTTTTTAAAGTACTAATGAAAATGTTTGAAGGTTCGTTGTGTTGGAAAGTTTTGAAAGGCAACATTGAACTTTGTCACAGCATATATATCCTTTGTTTCTTCCTGTTTGATGTCTTGAGCAGCTTGTGGAACACACACTAAACTCTGCTCCAGCTGAGGGGGGTGGGGAGGAGAGGCGGACAGGAACCGTCCAAGCTATGAAGCTGCTGTTGTGACAGTCCTGTGGTGTCTTCTGCTGGCGTCAGAGGCCCTGGGACAGTGGTAGTGTGCGTTATCAGAGCTGTCACAGGACAGTGAGAGGCAGACCAACAACCCAAGGAAAAAGGTGAAAAACCGCAAAAGGCGTGTCACAGAAAAGAAATGCAAATCGCTTTTAAACTTGAAAAGAGGGTTAGTCTCACTTATAAAAAGGGAAGTGCAATTGAAAAATATAATGACATAGAGTTTTTTACCTGTCACATTGGAAAAAAGCAACAAGGTTGATACTATACTGTTGACAGGAGTGTAGAAAAACAGGAACACTCGTATGTTCTTGCAAGGGCAGTTTGACAGTTTTCTATCAAAATTGTGACCCCAACAATTCAAGTTTTAAAAATATGTTATACAGATAAGAATCATGCATCCTCGCATAAATGTCTCTTCAGTGGTAGTCACTGAAGCATGGTTTGTAGAATCAAAAGTCTGCAAGTGGCCGAGTGTCCAGTAACGGACTCGGGTAGATTATGGTGCGTCCCGTAACGGAGGGCTCTGCGACCTTAGCCAGAAAGGAAGATGGAGCTCAGTGTGCTGATGTGGAAGGATCTTCTACATAAAGTCAGTGAAAACACAGTGCAGAACCGTGTCTCCAGTTTGCTGCCATCTGTGTGTTAAATACTCACTCATACACACACGTGTGTGCGCTTCAGAGGGTGTGTGGAATCTAGTACCCGTGGTGCCACCAGAGAGCTCAGTCACAGGTATGTGCTTTTTTCACTGTAAATACCTGTTAGGACTTCTGTTTGAATTTTTTGCTATGGGCATGTATTACTTTTCAAAAGAGAAAAGTAAAAGATATAGAGCTATTTTGGTTTCTGCGGCTGTATATCAAACGCTCCAGAAGTTTAAAGGGTGAAACAGTTCTTTATTGCGCTCATGGAGTCTGTGGGCCGAGAACTGGACAGCGCACAGGGGACGTGGCTTATCTCTGCTCCAGTGTCGGATGTCTCGGCTGAAAAGCTTGAAGTCTGGGCACTGGCAGCATCTGAACTTAAGGTCTAAAGGCTCGTCCCCACAGGGCTGCGTCAGCCAGGTGACGATGGCTCTTGTCCAGGAATGCCTCTGTCCCTCTCCATGGGACCTTTTCCGTGTGCACTGGTTTAGACTTTCTCACAGCAGGGTGGCAGAGTTCCAAGGGCAAGTGTCACAAGAGAACAAGAACCCGGCAGATGCCATATTGCCTTTTATGACACCCAGCCTGGGAAGTTACCCGGCATTATTTCCACCTCGTTTTATCGGTCAAGGTAGTCACAAAGTCCCCCCAGGTTCAGGAGGGAGGGGAGTAGACTCCACCTCTTGATGGACAGTGGAAGATTCTGGAAAAGCACGGAGGAAGTACTGCTGTGGTCACTTTTGGAAAATACAGTCTGCAGTCACTGGTCTCGTCCCCAAAGCAGAATTACATTAAGTGCCACTGCTGTAAACTGAGGTACAAGCTCATACTGAGAACTATGATTTCACGTCCCGCTGCATCCTGAAGACTGGCCACGAGATAAAGCACCTCAGGGGCTGAATAAAAGGAACTTGCAGCAACTATTCAGTTTCTAGAATTAGGTTATATTTGGTTTTTTGCTGAGCAAATAATGTAATGGTTACAAGAGCTCATACTCATTTGTGCTTATGAGAACCGGGCACTGTGGCGGGCACTAACCATGTCATCAGGCTCGCTTTTTTAGATGAGGACACTGAGGTGTGGGGAGATTCCAGGCTTGACTCAAGTTCACAGGGTTGGTGGTGGCGTCTGCTGCCTCTGGGTCTGGCCAACTGCTACCCTGGTCTTTCCTCACTGTTTTTCTCAAAACAATGGTTGGAATACGTGTGGTATCTCCCATCTTGTATGTCGTCTGCTACTAGAAGCGTGATACAGATTTTCTGGGGTAGCAAGTGTTCATTTGTCTCCTTCTGTTAAATTGGAAAGTACCATGAGTTCTCACAGAAAACAAATAGCAGGTCCCTACAAGATCTTACGGGCTCATCCTTCTCTGGATTCCAAATAGATCATTGGGTAGAAGTTCCAAAGAGGCAGACTTTAAGTCTACCCGTGAAGAAGCTTCCTGGCCGTCAGAATGTGGAACTGGGGCCTAGCCTGTCTCAGGAGGCCAGGCCTGCCGCACAGGCATCGCCCAGAGGCTGGAGGACCATCAGGCACGCCTGCGCGTGTGCTCACTGGGGGCCCGGTGCATCTGCCCTGTTAGGACCCTTCTAGCTGAGTGCTCTGGCCCTTTAAATCATTAGCTCCAAGCTTCCTCTTAATTTTAAGGAACGTCTTGGAGGAATGGGAAGCAGTTGAACGAGTAGATATCAAAAAGGGGAGTTTGATTTCTTATGTCAAGAGAGCCACTGTTTTGTTGGGGAAAGAATTTTAGTAGAAACGTACTGCATTTACTTATTATTTGGGGGTTTTTTTTTTTTTTTTTTGTATAGCTAATCCATGAACACTTGCATGTTGTGTAAAAAAAATTTCATGATACAAAGGAAAAACTATAAGGAGGAAAGATTGAGTCCCCTCACCCAAATCCCACTCCCCTGCTGTAGGTAGCGTGCTGACTCGAGGGGTCTTTCCAGACGTTCACCTGCATTTACGGGCGGGGGAAGCTTGTGTCTGCTTGCTGTTCCCGTGCAAATAGGACTTTATAGTGTATATGCATGTCCTATATATGTAGTGTTTCTGTGTAGATAGATAGATAGACAATTTCTGTGGTTTGCTTTTTAAATTTTATAACAAATAGATCTTGTAGTTCTTTCCATGTCATTGCATAGAGATGTACCACGTTCTTTTTAAAATCTGCAAAGTGTTCCATAGTCAGGCTTTTTCATAATTCAGCCACTTTCCTAGTATTGGCATTTAGATTGTCTGCAGTTTTGTCTATTACGCACAGCACTGCGGAGAACTTTCTGTCTGTGCGCCCGTGCAAGGGTAAAGCAGGGGCGTGTTTACATTGTGGTGACAAGTGTCCTGCGGAGGGCTGTCCTTGGTCTCTCCAGCAGCATGAGGACCCTCTCCACTGCCTGCCAGCGCTGCTTAAAGCAGCCTTTGGAAGTCGCCAGCAAGATGGGTACATCACTGTTCTAATCTGTGTTTCCTGACACTAATGAGGCCGGGCATCTTGCAGGTGACTCATGGGCCAGTTGTCTATCTTCTGTGAACTCTGAGATTATTTTTCTTCTGCTCATTGATCTAATGGGTTGTTTCTCTGTGTGATTCGTCAGCCCACTTTATATTAAGGACACTCGCCCTTTGTCCATTGACAGCTGTTCTGAGTGTTGTCTCCTAATCTGTACCATGTCTTTAATTTTGCTTCTTTTTGTCTTTTGCTGTGGAAAGACATTCGAGATGATGCTGCCAGATTTGTCAGTGTTTTCCTTTGGGGCTTCTGGGTTTTGTGGCTTCCTTTGAAAAGCTCTCTCCCATCCTGAACTTAAAAAAACTTTTCTATAATTTTGTGCTTTCTTTTTGTGTTGGCTTTCATAGTAGATCCCTAATCCATTTGAAATTTTGATATTGTCTGTGATGTGAGCTAGGGGCTGCTAAGTACTTAAAATGAAGAAACTGGTGAAGGCAAAGGTTTAGATTTAAGCCAGTGGCCCTGTGATGCTTTTAAGAGAGATGTTGGTCATGTCTAAGAATTGTTATATGTTTTTAACTGTAAATGTTCTAAGCTAAGCATTCTGAGGCTGTGTGTGTGTTTGTTTAGTTTTGTCTTACCTCGATTTTTGTGAGAAGAAGAGGGATTTACCGTGATCTCTAGTCTAAAATTAGAAGAGCCAAATTTTGTACATACCGGGTTGTCCTCAAATGGGAAAAAAGAAAGAGGGAGACAGGAGGAGAAGAAGAAGGTGGGAGGAAATGAGGGAGAAAAGTAATTTTGAAAGTGTCTGTATTAAAAGAGGTTTGAAGAAGCCCTGTGCTTTGGGCATTCTCATTTGTCTGAGTTCATCAAAACCGGTTCTTTATTTGTATCCCTCCTTGCTCATTTCCTTCCACTTGGCACTTGAAACAGGGCTTCCTTCAGCGTTAATTCATTGCATTAGCTGATGCAGACTTTACAAGTTTGCCACTGCGTTTGCTAGTTAAGATGACCTTGGCGGTTTCTAATAGGGATTTATTTGAAGTTTATTGCAGGTACTCATCTAAAATTAGACATTAAGCCTTCTGGTGTCCATTCTGTAGTGGTGCATCTGCGTCAGAAGGCAGTGCTAGGGGTACCCTAATAATCCCACGTGGGCAGCTCGAAGCTTCCTGCCCGGCTGGTCAGCTGTGGACTTGAGGCAGAGGCGTTCCGGGATCTCCACTCTCTGGGGAGTCAGACTGCAGCAGGAGGGCAGGAACTCGGGGCTTTATGAGCCGTGTGTTCCCGTCTGTTGAATTCTCTGCGGGGTTTCTCTGCTCAGTTTTTTCCTTCTTTAACCGTTCATTCCCCTTTGTGTTGGCCCTCTGTCCACTTGACTCAGCCCTTTAAGCTCTGATCACTTCCTTGCTTTCTGCCTTACTATTTCTTGCTCCAGACCAGGAATCAGCCATTCTTCTAGGGATCCCTGGTTCCACTGGGAGCAATGGTATTTAGCAGCCACAACCTGGGGACTAATTTGCTTGTTGCTAGTGAGTTGTCATTGTTTCATGGCCTTTCAGTGAATAGTGCCAGGAAATATGTATTATTAAAAGAAAAAAAATCATGAGATTATACTGTTCTTTCCAGTTTAGTTTTAGCATTCAGAACTTTTATCTCTTTGGTTCTGTATTTATATCTTCTCTCTTACACTGAAAGTCTTGGTTCCTAACCTACTTGAACATAATTACTTACTTGCATTACCCTGCTATATATATATATATATATATACCCTGCTATATATATAGATTTATATATATATATAAATCATTCCAAAAGCGCATACCACTGTTACCACTAACACCTAAACTACAGAGTGAAGTTTAAGATTTGTTGTGTTTTGTTTTTAATTTGTTGAGGTTTTGTTTTTATTTTTATTCTTAGCGTCTATTGTAAGATATACCATATCTGTGTTTTAAAGTCTCTTGAAATAATTCTTTTCTCTGTATGATTATGTTATCAACTTGACATATAGTTAGTCATACTTGTTTTAATTTGCTTTTCAGTTTTTAGCAACTGCTTTTGTGTAATTTTTTAATTTCCTTTTTGAATATGTAAAACATTTACATTTCCAAAGTAGAAATTATATAGTAAGGTATATTCAGAGATGCCTCACTATTCCCTCTACCCTTTTCCCTTCCTCCTGAAAAGAAAATTGTTTATTAGTGTTTGGTTTATCATTGCATTGTTTCTGTTTCAAATGCAAGCAAATACCTGTAACTCCCGTCCTGCGCACACGCAGGGGCTCTGCCTGCGTCATGCATGTCATGTCATTACATGGCATACGTTTATTTACTTACAGCCTTCTTTAGCTCCTTTATATTTGTTTTTAATCTTAGTGAGTTTTTTTATTACAAAAATAATAACTGAAATTTTCTTTAATCCCAAATGCAAGAGTGTGAGCCATAACAGTGATTCCTCTCTTTATCATATACTCACCCATAACTGTTTGTGTACAGGGCGGGTCCCCTCCTTCACGCCCTTCTCTGCGTGCACCCACGCATTTATTACTGATATTTAACTTTGGAATTGTTACGCAAGTAGTTTTTAAATTATTGTGCTAATATTTCTCATTACTTGCCACTTTCTAGACATCAGACAAAAATTGATAAATTCTCAAATATGGTGCAAGAAACAAAATTGTTTTTTAATGCCTGGTATGAAAACGGTAAAGGAAGTACTCATTTTCCTCAGCTCTCTTTCTGAAATGGAGCTGAAGAAAAATGAGTTATTAAATATAAATTTTATTAAACATTAACTACTTTAAAGTATGAATTGACAAAATACATTTACTAATAATAAATTACTCAAATGTAATCCATTGTTTTATCTTTGGAGCTGTCATCACTTGTGCTTTTTTCATTTTTATCTTGAAAATTGGGACAGAAAGATCAGGTTTATTATTTGAACATCTTTACCAAAAAGTCAAATCAGAAAATTTCCCCATTTTCCCACTTTCTCAGTATACTTGGAGAAGCAGACTTTAGTTTTGAGCTTTCCTCCCCTTATAATCCCCAAATAAGAGCTCTTTCTTTTTTTAAAGATTTTATTTTTTTCCTTTTTCTCCCCAAAGCCCCCCAGTACATAGTTGTATATTCTTCATTGTGGGTCCTTCTAGTTGTGGCATGTGGGGTGCTGCCTCAGCGTGGTTTGATGAGCAGTGCCATGTCCGCGCCCAGGATTCGAACCAACGAAACACTGGGCCGCCTGCAGCAGAGCGTGCGAACTTAACCACTCGGCCACGGGGCCAGCCCCCCAAATAAGAGCTCTTAAATGTTTATTACTACATGATTCCCAAGATTTATGCTGTGATTCAGAGAAGTACCAAGCTCATATTATGTATTTGTTTTATTTACCCTATTTTCTTTTTTCTAGGTATTTTTTGATTTAATGAGGGAAATTCGAGCCAGAAAGATGGAAGACAGCAAAGAAAAGAATGGAAAAAAGAAGAGGAAAAGTTTAGCCAAGAGAATCAGAGAAAGATGTTGCATTTTATAATCAAAGCCCAAACTCCTTTCTTATCTTGACCATACTAATAAATATAATTTATAAGCATCGCCACTGAAGGCTCAATTGACTGAAATTACTTTAACATTTTGGAAATTGTTATGTATCTCTAAAAGCATGAATTGGAACTGCGCTGAAAGTCAAATTCACTTAAAAAAGAAATTAATGTGGCTTCATCGAGAAGCAAAGTTCACCTTATTTCATAATTGCCTACATTTATTCCGGTCCTGGATGTCGTGTGTGAGCTCGTGTGTCGTGGGCGGTCCTTCTTGAACTGATGAAGAGGCGAGATGGTGGGGGGGAGGGGGGGAGGCTGCTTCCTCCAGTTGATTATAAAGCTTAAATTTCTATCATTTTAAAATGTCGGGGTCTTCTCTTGCCTTGGAAAATGACAATTGTGAACATGATAGTTAAACTGTACCACTTTTTTTAACCATTGTTATGCAAAATGTAGAAGAAAAAGTTATTGGCATGATTGTTGCATATAGTTAAATTGAGAGTGATTCATCTGTGAACCTGCATTAATTACCTGGTGATCAATTAGAAAAGTGGTGTAACTTGTACATGGAAACTTTTGACTATGCCTTAATTTAGAAACTGAAAAATACCTGGTTACATCGTTCTGGGTGTGTCCTCACTGGCGCTGTGGGCCCCTTGTCCCATGTGTCCTGGTGAGACAATATATGCCTAGTATGGAGTACAACTTTTGTATAGAAGGTTCTTGAGAAATAACTGTCTGCTGGGAGTGTATCAAATTTAAAATGTGTGCCATACTCTGGTTCTTGCAAGTAAGGTTCCAGAGCTCCGTGATTGCTTCTAGTTAACTGTACGGTAGTTTAAAGCGAGGGGCCAGCATCTCTCTGTAAGCTAATTCTTGACTGTGAGCATTCAGCACCAGTTATGTTTCAGGAACCCTCTGTTTCTTTAAGATGCTGGTCCCTGGAAATCCTTTCTGCAAGTGGTGAGCCTGTGTTAAGTTTTTGATCTCTTCGGAGCAGGGCCCAGGAAAGATGTCAACAGTGCTAATGCATTTTGCACTAGAACACTTCAGGAAAATATCCATGCTTTCCACCTGTTCATTTCTAAATCTGTATTCATGAGTCGGCTCTATGGGAGGTCTTAGGAGTATCTGTAGTCTGTCTGTGTTCACAGTAAAGAACACTGCAGCTACATTTTCCTAAAGTCAGCATCAAGCAATCAAACCCAAGTAGAGTCAGGAAGCGTGTTTGGCGTGCACAGACCGAAGATTAGGCCTGTGGTGCCGCTGTGTGGTGTGCACGCTATTTGGAACATAATTTCGATGGGAAATATACCACTGTCAGATTTTTCTTTTCTCCTTTGGAATGGGGCTGGGGCAGTTGATTCAACAAAGTTTTCCTTTCTTTTCACCCAGTCCTAATTTCAACAAGTCAAAGATGTGTTCAGGCTTTCCAGGTAACAGATGTGTATGTAAAGTTGACAAAAATAGGCTTTTTAGGAACTCAACTCTTTAGATATTACATCTGGCTTGTCACGTTAAATATTTGTCCTTAAAGGGTTTGAGGTGTACATCTTTCATTCTGTATTTTCATAGGCTACGCCATGTGCGGAATTAAAGTTCCCGATGTCCCGCGGGCCCGCGCCCTCCGTGTGTGCTCGCTGCAGTCTTACTGAACCAGGGGGCCTAACCACTGACATTGTGACTTTGCTGTAGACCTTTCCTCTCCTGGGTACTGAGGTGCTATGAAGCCAGCTGACAACGATGCATCACATGTCTTTGGCTGATGCCACTACCCGATTGGTTTATTTGCAATTTGAGCCATTTAAAGACCAATAAACTTCCTTTTTTAAAATGTTTGTGGTGTTACTTGATGTTTACAATAGAACATGTAAAATTCAGATTTATCAACCTGGCATCTTAACCAGAGATTTAAAAACAGCTGACACTTGGGGACTTCTTTTGCGTAATGCCAGATTTCCTAAGTAACAGTATTGTCAGGCCCAGGTTTAATCAAGGCTCAGAAATGGAAGAGTGCTGTATGCACGGTTACATAAAAGATACTCTTAAGCTGTCATGACAGTCACAAATGTGTACTCTACTTTTAGAATACTACTAAAGTCTAGAATGAATAGGTGACAGCTTTATATTCATCTAACCAGAATGATCCCCAGAGACGATTTAATTTCCAAATTGTGGCAGGAGTAACCACCCAGATAGCATTTCACCAAGCTGCAGGCCATTCTCTTTCACCTTTGGTGTCTGGTGGGAAAGAATGGCCTATTAAACTGGCAGACAGCCTGGGGGGCAGGAACAGTCTGTCCCAACATTGAGCATAACCTTTCAAAATCGAGTGTATTTTAATTTTTTACTCAGCGGTGCCCAAATTCACACGTTTAGGTTATAATTGGCAAAATTTTAACCTCAATGTATGGACCATTTTTAACACCAATGGAGTATGATGTGAAAAATTATGTACCAAGTGGAAGTTAGGTGAAGTTCTAGTTTTCCAGTGGAGCAGAATGTCATGTCTCAAAACTTTGTGACAAGTATGTAGAACTTAAAATTTGGCAACCTTATATTCCTACCTTCAGAGTAAAACTACAAGCATTTACCAAAAGTTCCCGTCAAGTTTTCAAAGGAGTACATTTTATTTAATCCAGTGTTAGAAGTCTCCCTTCAGCAAATTACTTTGGAAGTCGAGAGTGGCAGGTCCATAGAGGTCTTCATTCACGCTTTTGGCTTCAGATGTTTCCGGACTGCCCACCGTGGGCCCTGCTGGGAATGCCCCAGGGGAAGGACCTGTGTGAGTGAGGGCAGTTCGGAGATGCGCCCTGAGGCAAGGATGTCTGTGTTCCACGCGAAAGGAGGAAAGGTGGTTTTAAAAAGAGTCGAGATTAAGTCCAGGTCTCCTTACTCTGGGTAGGGCCCCTATTTCTTTTTCTTTTCTTTTCTTTTTTGAGGAAGATTAGCCCTGAGCTAACTGCTGCCAATCCTCCTCTTTTTGCTGAGGAAGACTGGCCCTGAGCTGACATCCGTGCCCATCTTCCTCTACTTTATACGTGGGATGCCTACCACAGCATGGCTCGTCAAGCAGTGCCATGTCTGCACCCGGGATCCAAACTGGCAGAGCCCAGGCTGCCAAAGCAGAACATGTGCACTTAACCGCTGCGCCACCAGGCCGGCCCAGGCCCCCCTATTTCTTATGCTTGTCAATTTTTATAACAATCCTTATAATAATAATAGCAGCAAACACATAGTGTATCCTGTATGCAAGATACTCTATCCATATATGTATTTCAATTAATATTAACCCTATGAGGTAGGTGCACTCATTAACCCCTGTTTTGCAGATGGAGAAACAGGCACAGAGCAGTTGAATAACTTGCCCAGGGCCACCAGGCTATTAATTATTTACTTGGATTGGAAGCACTGTAGTCTGGCTCCCAAGGCCACGCTGTTGGTCATTGCGCAGTGAAGGAGAAGCGGAGTGGAGACTCGAATTAATCATGCAGTAGCCTGGACTAAGGTGGGGAGCTTCCCCACAGTTGCACCACCTAGTCGATGTTTGTCCTGAGATGGCTCCCAGGGGTGCTGTGGATGGAGATGAGGCCTTGTGCTTACAGCGTGGTTGCCAAGAGGAAGTGCAAGTGCAGAGAGGGAAAACTGCAGAGCTCAGCTGTGGGCTCCGGCCTCAGTGCTTTCTCCATCACACCGGTGAAGAGGCAGCATTCCTCTGGCAGGCCAGAAGCCCTCTTCCCTATTTTTTTAACTGGACTGATTCCCCAGCCCTTTGCTCTAGCAGCCCTGCGGAACGACTGCCTAGAGAGGCCTGGAGAGGGCAAGGCAGAAGGTTTGGCCTTCTGTGTTCTCAGTCCTTACAGAAGCACCATTTCTGGGGATGGGGGGGGTGGGGGGGTGGGGCCATTTAACATCTGTTCCCAAGGGCTCTGAGAGCTGTGAAAACCCGCAGGGCTAATCTGAAAGGACAAGATTGCTTTCATCAAAAGCCTGAGGAAAACAGCCAGAGTGTGGAGGTGCCTGCAGGCGCCTAGCAGTGAGAAGATGCTCCTCAGGGCAGAGTGTTTCAAACAGCCAAAAAATCGGAGTCAAGCCTGGTTGAATCAGGAGAGAAAGGAGCAGGTCTGAGAGCCAGCTTCTCCTGGGCCTCAGCGGAACGGGACTCACGTGGAGAAAGTGCAAGGAATTCCAGGCTGCAGCCCCTGGAATTGCTTCATTACTTGCCAACTGTTTGCCTGTTTATGGACTGGTCTTTGTAAGGGATGACAGATTTGGTAGAAAGATACTAGATGGCTTTCCTGTAATCCTGGATGTTGCCTTAGAAGGGACCTTAGAAGCTGTTCCCTTCGTTTTCAGGCCAGAAGAGAGAAATAGCTTGCACGAGACACACGAGTAATGAACGAACCAGAATTAGAATGCAGGTCTTCCGTCTTCTAATTCCAGCTCTTCCCATTCACCCTTCCGAGTTCCGAGGCGGGGCTGGGGGCTGGGGGCTGGGGGCTGGGGGGCGGGGCTTTGAATGGAGACAGCACAATAGAGACAGGATTCCCAGAGCCTGAATCAAATTCGGCCTCCATCCCTTCTCACTGGCCTTGGGGAACTTCCCCAAACCTCAGGTGCTTGACTGAAAAGCACGCATTCCTGTCTACCTCCCAGGATTATTGTGAGGATCGCACAGAGATTAAGCTAGTTTATTACAGGGCGTATATTTTCTAAATGCAGAGAAAAGTTTTAACCACGCCTAGCCCCCTGTTCTCAATAAAAAGTTTCTGTGTGACATTCTGTTTGGCATTGAGCAAACCATGCAGATACCTCCTGAGTCCATATATTTTATGTCGGCATGTGAGGAAAAGGAACCAGGAGACTCTGGTTAAAGGAGCTCGAGATACAGGTCCCCTCACCTCTGTACGCACTGAAGCTTAGCACTGAAAGGACCCTCAGATGACAAGTCACAGGGACAGGAAGTGACGTCTGCAGAGATCAGGTGGCCTGTGCAAGGTCACAGCTGGAGGGGCAGCATCAGGACTTAATCCAGCACTGCTGGCTGAGTCCCGCTTCATGTTCTTTCTATCCTACTGTAGCAGCTCATGAAAATCAGGAATTCCTGCCAGTGAGGAAAGGGGGACCCTTCAAAGGTGGAGGACCCTGGAGGGAAGGCGAGGTCAGAGGCACAGCTACAGGGTCCTCCCAGCCTCCCTGGAGGCCTGCAGCACACAGGGAGGGGCCAACCCGGGGATCCTTAATGTGGGCATGAAGACTCTCTGGTTCCTGATAGGAATGCTTCATCCTCTAGGAGGCCTTCCATACACTGTCCTCATTGACTGGGAGACAGGAGTGATCCAGTCACTCAGTGCTTTGACTCGTGGTTTGCAGGGAGCACATGGTTGAGAAGTGCCGAAGAATTTCATTCCCAAACAATATTTTTAGAGCAACCCAAGGTACCAGGTCTAAGAGCTTGTGGGGCTTGACTAACCTACCTCATCACACAGGACGTGAGTGAAGTCTCATTTGGGGAGCTATGGGGTATTTTGCTGACTGAAACCACAAAAGTAGACCAGCCTGCCTTCTTCTTTTTGGGGGTGACTTGCATCAAAAAGGCAACCTTCTTGAGTGGCCAATAGGACGAGTGCAGTGTGGGGGTGGAATGGCACGTACACCTACGTACACGCATCATATCTTGCCTGTCTCTTATCCTGCATCCAGCATATAATGCTCCTGAAATCCCACCAGGAAAATATGATAAGTCTCAGAAAAGGGATAGTAAATGAAAATGATACATGATGAAATCATCTAATTGTGAGACCTCAATGGCAGTTGTATTTATTCTGAGACAGAGTAACATTCATGAGCTTGTATCAACACAGGATTAAAAAAAAAAAAAGAAAGCAAAACAGGAAAATGATGCGCTGGCCTTTGTGGAAAGGCCTGCCCCAGCCAGCAGCACATTCAGGTTCTCTCCCTGACCCCCTGCCCCACCGTGTACCTGCCAGGTGGAGACGGAAACATTCAGTTCAAGACAATCAGCAATTGCTTTGTGAGTTTGCTCCTCTGCTGGGAAAGGCTTCAGCTGTGGCACTGTCCTGATGTCCAAGACAACCATGTCCTAGGAGAGAAGGCAGGGACCTTCTGAGAGGTCGCCATACCAAGTGGGCCCTGGGAGCCCAGCCTGTGATGGTCAGGGTCTGAGCTCCTCAGCAGGGCGGTGGCGCACATGCTTCTAGAGTGGAAATGGCTAAGCTGGGGAGCAAGTTCCTTCACTCATTCATTCATTCATCAAACTTAATTCTTAATTTTTCTCCATCTTTACTACCTCCGTTCTGATCCAAGCTGACTGACCTCACCTGAGCGGCTCCCGTGGCCTCCTGGTTTCTCACACCACACCCACGCTTGCACCTGTTCTCCACACCCAATCCATCCTGATACAGCAGCCAGAGCGAACTGCAGACCTGACCATGTCCTCCTTTTGCTTAAACCATCTCAATAACTTCCCATGCTTTTTAGGATAAACACAGGACTCCAAAAATGCTGTGGTAGGCTGGAAAATGCCCCTTCAAAGATGTCTATGTCCTAACCCCAGAACCTGTGAATGCATTATTACCTGACATGGCAAAAGAGACTTTGCAGATGTGATAAAATTGGGGATCATCCCAGCTTATCTTAGTGGACCCAATGTAATCACAACAGCCCTGAAAAAGGGAAGCAGAAAGGTGAGATTAGAGCCAGAGGAGGAGACAGGACAACAGAAACAGAGGGCTAAGTGACGCAGTGCCACGCCCCCAGGAATGCAGGCAGCCTCTAGACGTGGGAAAACACAAAGAGCGGATTCTCTCCTAG